CAAGCAACAAACCTATCTTAACGTTACAACACTCACTCACTTTACTATATCTTTGTAGTAGCAGTGTTGCCACATTAGGACAGAAAAAGTGTTAAGACTACCGAACTCCTCCACATCTCTCCATTTCCATGACATATGAGGAAGGAAGAGTTTTATTCCAAGAGGTGATTTGGGCACAGCTAATAACAATGCTTAAGATACTATTGCAGAGCACACAGGAACTTATTGGATTTCTGACTCTTATGGGATAGACATAGGCATGTGCATGGGGTGTGGGCACACCCTAATCACCCCATGCAGTGCTGATTCCCCTTGCTACCTGGGCCCCCTGTCTCCACCACCCCTGCAGCACTGCTGGCTTCCTTCCTCTCCTCTCCCACCGGGTGCTGCTGCAGTTTCAAAATGGAGAACAGGGAAGAAGCTAGTAAATACAGATCACCAACAGTGTTCATTCATAACTGAAGCACAATAAACTGTGTGCCTGTATACAGGGGCGGACTGACCATTTGGAAACTCAGGCTGTGCCCGAGGGCCCAGGGTCAGTAGGGGGCCCCATGAGATGCCCCTGGTACCTTTTTGATAGGCTTTTCTGAGTTTGGGCAAGGACACAGGGGCCTCATGATCCCCTATTGCCCGGGGGCCCCATGAGTTGTCAGTCTGCCCCTGCCTGTATATATATATATATATATATATATATATATACACACTCATGTGTGTTTGAGCTTTGCGGTGCATACCTTAATGCAATAGGCTGTGCACACCTATGTGGAGCGATATAACAAAATGCTATATAAAATAGCTGCTGTGAGGCTTGCTCAACGATTCAAGGCAATGGTAATGTGCTGTGGCCCATAGCAAAAAATCTGATCTCATTTTACTGTAGTTTAGTCCCTAAATCACAACTTCTGATTGGCTGCACTCATGGAAATGAACACACTGCTCTTTGCTTTACATAGAAAGCCAGCATATTAAATATAACAGGAGTACACACTGGAACAAGTGCTTTGTAATAACCTTCCATCCCAGATTAATTACTTCAAGTTATAACAGGAAATGTTTATCAATGAGGATTCCCACCACGCCTTTTTCGCCTTTTTCAATTTTGCAGATGCTGAGCGGGTTTATTGGGAAATGACATTTCCAAGAAGAGATGGATGTCCTGCCAATGGGAAACTTATCCTGGACCGAGCAGTCGTGCTTTCTCTATGGGGACATCTACGCGGTTTATTTATTGTGATGCTTTGGCTTATTGGCTTATCAAATAGTTGTGAAATTTGGCTAGGTTTACTTTTAATATGTCGAAATGGAATGGATTGTACATTATTACCCTAAAGAGAAAACCACTGCAGTTCATGAACTGCTGTCTCTATAAGCCACATTTTTTAAAATTTCAGACTAAAACAAAAAAAAAGATATACTTTTTTAAGGACGCTTTAAAATGTAAGTTTTATTTTATGGTGGTATAGGAAGATTTTTGCTGTGTTTTTGTAAAAAAAAAAGGTTTTGTTTTATTACACACATATAGCGGATTGTTATATGGGACAATCCCAACATGCGTTGCTGAAGTCTAGGAAACTCTGATCTGCTAACAGCGTCAAAACATGATCAGCTCACCCTTTGTGGCAGTTACACGCAGACTGATAGGAAGTGGTTCTCCACCAAAATATCAGTTTCCAAAATATTTTTTGGTTACATAACAGGATAAAAACAGCAATCATGCTTATGGATTTTAGCAAATCCTCACCTTAGTAATAGCAGCCTAAGATTAGGACCATTACTTAATAAAGGCCGTCATACCTGTACCACATCCACAAAACTATATCTTAAAACAACTGCACAAAACCTATACAGACTTTATTGGTACAGACAAGATAATGCTCAATTTTCATAAAAACATTATACATTGCTTTATTATTCACAATAAAAATATATTAATCTTTATGGATCATAAACCAAAAATTTATTTAAATTGAGTCCTTTGCCCAATTGGGTCTTTTTGCAGCTGTGGCCTGGATTTGTTTCTTTTGTCCCAGTGTCTGCCCTATTTCTGAGTTAAATGGAAAATGATACATGTTTAACACATATGACATATTATTTATCTGATTTAATACATTTGTAAAAAAATATTTAGCGTTTACTACTTTTTCCTAACCGGATCCTCGGCTGGTCCTGCAGAAGCTCAATGAATAATGCATTGACCTAAGGAGACCTATTGCTAAATGATACATGATACATGTATAGTATGTATCCTTGTATGGAATTGAAAATATTTATTTCAGGTACTTATATAGCACCATCCATTTACACAGCGCTTTACACTAACCTACCAACATGTCTTTGGAGTGTGGGTGGAAACACACACAGACACAACATGCAAACTCCAGGCAGGTGGTGCCGTGGCTGGGATTCAAACCAACGACATTAGTACTGCCGGGCGGAAGTGCTAACCATTTAGCCACTGTGCTGCCCATAATATTTATGTAACAGTACATGTTGTCAACAAAGAGGAGATATTGTTAACTGTATGATTATGGTTTTAGGATCCATAAAGATCCATATATTTTTATTGTGAATAATAAAGCAAAATTGAGCTTCATCTGATTTGTACCAGTAAAGCCAGTATATGTTTTGCTAAAACCGAGCTCCTAGTTTTCCCCACGCCTCCCCCCCCCCCAACCTCTCCATCACGACCAACAACGGCACCATCAGCCCCACCCCGCAAGCCAAAGTACTAGGTGTCATTCTAGTCTCCAATCTGTCTTTCCAGCCCCAGATCCAATCGCTGACAAACTAATGCAGACTTCACCTCCGCAACATCTCCAAAATACACACTTTCCTAACTCCAGAAACTACAAAGCAACTCATTCACTCACTTACCATATCACGACTTGACTACTGCAACTCCCTCCTCGCTGGCCTACCCCAACACAGGCTATCCCCGCTTCAGTCTATTCTGAATTCTGCGGCCAGACTCATCCACCTTACCAACCACTCCGTTTCCGCCTCCCCCCTCTGCCAATCCCTCCACTGGCTTCCAATTGCCCAACGCATAAAATTCAAAATATTAACATTGACGTACAAAGCTGTCCATAACACTTCCCCAAACTACATCACCGATGATATCCATATACCACCCAAAACGTACTCTCCGCTCCTCACAAGACCTCCTACTCTCCAGTTCCCTGGTCTCCTCCTCTCATGCCCATCTCCAGGACTTCTCCAGGGCTTTCCCCATCTTCTGGAACTCGCTACCCCAATCCATCAGACTGTCACCTACCCTCCTCACCTTTAGACGCACCCTGAAAACACATCTCTTCAGAGAAGCCTACCCAGCCCTCACCTATTTGCTGATCTCCTCCGCTCTTCTCACCACTCCATCCCCCATAGCTATTTCCCCCTGTACCACTCTCCTCTGCCTCCTAGATTGTAAGCTCCAAGGAGCAGGGCCCTCGAACCCATCGTGTATCACATTGTATTGTTACTGTACTATCTCGTGTACTGTCTCCCACTATAATGTACAGCGCTGAGCAAACTGTTGGCGCTATATAAATCCTGTATAATAATAATAATAATAGTTGTTTTAAGGATGTTATCAAGACCAGGACTGACTTTACTATAACCATGATCGCTGTTTTTGTTCTGCTATGCAACAAATACTGATTTTGCAGAGGATGTTTAATTGAGTGCTGCCATTCCTAAGACATATGTTGTCACTGTTGTGACAAGTCTTGATGTGTTAATTTTTATTTCTTCCTCTGCACTAAAGAGGATGTACAGATGCATTTGTTTTCTTGTAAGTGTAATAAGCTGTACTTTAATAAGCTTATATTTTTTCTGTATAAAGTTTATATATATTATTAATATTATTATACAGGATTTATATAGCGCCAATAGTTTGCTCAGCGCTGTACATTATAGTGGGAGACAGTACAGTAACAATACAATGCGATACACGAGGGGTTCGAGGGCCCTGCTCCTTGGAGCTTACAATCTAGGAGGTATATTAATGCAATATTTTCTGTATTCATATACTGTATAGTGTTCTTAATTGGTTCAGCACCCAAAGAAGCTCCTGAAGAAACGGTTCACCATGAAACATGTCGAGCTACTGATCAATGAAAATTATATGATATTAGAAGCCAGAAGGCTCAAAATCAGAACCAGCATTTATTATGTCGTACTAAGGGTGATTTTTATTATAATTTGTTCTCGCTGAGATCAGTATATTCATTTTGTATTAATTAGGGTGATTTACAATTTTACATACTTGTTTTTCTGTGCCTATAAAGTCCATAATTTGTCCAACCACTGTAATTGATGTACAGCACTGAACTCAGGTGGTACCTAGCCTATGTCAGGAAAAGTGATAATGGTGTTCCAGGAGGCAAATGGGCTACCTAGAACAATAAGGCCACTAGTGGATCAACATAACATACATACATGCTTAAAGTGTTACTAAACCCACACCAGTAAAATCAGTGTGTATATGCAGCAAAGCATGCTTGTTATACTCACTGTGGAACCTAAGAGTTAAATCCTCTGCATTATGTAAAAATGCTGATTGATCCTCCCCTTCTTCCGGAGTCCCCCTCTTATCTCCTGATAAGACATATCGGGTGGTATCACTCTGCACATGCTCTGTTTGGTGTGTCTTGCTAGAGAGGTTTATTTTTTCTTGGAAGAGTGCATGTGATCAGCACAGGCCAATCAGCATTGTCCAGACAGAGGTCAAGGGTCCTGCATCTTCTTAGAGCAGATTTAAAACTCCTCCTACAAACTTTAACATGTGCTTGTCTGGATACTGATAGAAGTTACAAGACTGCTCTAACTGATGATGAGAAAAGGTATTTAGCAGTTTATATTTAATAAAATAACTGCACTTCCATGTTGTGTGTACTGTGGGAGACCAGATATAGTGACTGCAGGGTCCGGGGAGACCAGATATAGTGAATGAAGGGTCTGGGGAGACCAGATATAGTGGATGCAGGGTCCTGGGAGACCAGATATAGTGAATGCAGGGTCCGGGGAAACCAGATATAGTGGATGCAGCATCCTGGGAGATCAGATATAGTGAATGCAGGGTCCTGGGAGACCGGATATAGTGAATGCAGGGTCCTAGGAGAGCGGATATAGTGAATGCAGGGTCCTGGGAGAGCGGATATAGTGAATGCAGGGTCCGGGGAGACCGGATATAGTGAATGCAGGGTCCTGGGGAGACCGGATATAGTGAATGCAGGGTCCTGGGGAGACCAGATATAGTGAATGCAGGGTCCGGGGAGACCGGATATAGTGGATGCAGGGTCCTGGGGAGACCAGATATAGTGAATGCAGGGTCCTGGGAGACCAGATATAGTGACTGCAGGGTCCGGGGAGACCGGATATAGTGAATGCAGGGTCCGGATATAGTGAATGCAGGGTTCCTGGGAGACCAGATATAGTGAATTCAGGGTCCTGGGTTTAGTAATACTTTAAGGTTGATGTGCTTCTGAGTACCCTAAATGGTCTGACCCCCATTTCTGCCCTCTAGTCTCTATTTTGAATTTAATAGCTTCAATCTAAGACCTGAAAGATTTTTTAACCTAAATAGAGACTCTCACGGCTGCTTAAATAATTAATGGTCCCGCAGTAAAATCTAGTGGGCTCACAGAACCTTGGCCCACAGAAAAATGGATACTGCCATTGTTTACTTAAAAAAATTGAAGAAGAATGAGAATTTAGGAATTGGAGCCTCTACAGCTTCGCAGTTTCCTGTCCTGCTAGACCCGAAGCAAATGTCTTTTTAATAAAGTGGTTTTTAAAAAAGTGGCCCTGGAGACCAGTGAAGAAAGTAAATGAATTAAGATGGCCTATTAAACTATAATGTCCAATAATTGTCTGAACACTGTACCCATCAGGACACTTGCAGCACATACCTGAGGTTAATGTGCAGAGTGCTACAATCACTATAAGGGCCCATTCACATTGATGGGTTGGGGTACAATGTGTAGCAAACTGCAGTGCATTGTGGTGCCATTCCTTTGACTTCTGAAAAGAGAAAAGGTAAAATAGTGTTACTTTTTCATTGTTTAAAGATAAAGAGCCAATAAAGACTTGGTCAAAGGTTTCATAATATATATGTTATTCAACTAAAAAAAAGATAGCCGTGTACATAATGCACTGATTTTGTGGCACATAAAAATGTGCCACAATACCATAAAAGGAGAAATAATGAAAATATATTTGAGGCGGATTCTGTAACTTGTATTAACATTTTACAAAGGTACGTTTGACAGCCAGTGTACTGCTAATGGACAAAAGTGTCAGTGGGAATAACTGAATCATTAGATGCTCTGATTAACTGCCGATTAGTCAGATCTGTGTAGGACGACACAATTCAGAAATCTCGAACATCATTATTCTTTGCAGACTTTAAAAATCTTCACGTATGGATTAAGGATAATTACAGAAAACAAAACAAAAACAGCTGAATTGTCTTGCTGCTTAAATGGCTTGCTTATTGCTAGTACCTGAACCAACCCTCAAATCTTCTCTGAACCGAGCTGAAAAAGGAACAGTGACTGCTAATTTTCCATCCTTTAGAACTCGTGCAAAACATTTGTTATAGAAATGTACAATTCAATGATAAATAAGTCCCATTTTCTCTTTATTTAGGGGGTAAAATCTCTATTTATGTGTAGTCAATGTACCTAGATTGATAGCAGCCTCCCAATTGTGCTTATTTCCAACCTGATATGTAAGGGGGACTATGTAGGTTTTAACTTCGCAATGGAATTACAAGGGTTCTTCAAAAGGTTTCTGCACTTTTTTAAACATATTAATATGTATAAAAGTGCGGAGGTTTTTTGAAGACCCCTTGTATGTCTAAGAGGCCTGCAGAAAATGCCTACTTAGTTTCTTGATATCCAGAGCTCCTCGGGACAATGCCACGCCCAGCTGCACCCTGAACAATGTTTTTCCAGCTAATGGAACCACAATCTATGTATAGGCAGCCTGAATGCGATTGTTACTGGGTCAGGTTAATTATGCAATTAACTCTCCACACTGCCACCGCCTCCTTTTTGTACACAGAAAGAGGAAACTCAGCAATACACTAGGATGATTGGTTAATCGTTGGTATACTGCTATCTCCGTGGACAGGTTATACAGAGGGTTAAACACTCATAGTAGCGCTCTTCAGCGGCAGGGATTTGTAAGTCACATTAAAGAGCTATAGAAACAGTTCAATGCTTTCAGAAAGTAAGATTTATTACTAAACGGTCAAAAGGGTGCAGTAGAAATATTTACAGAAAAAAGATGTAACCAATATATATATATATATATATATATATATATATATATATATACAGAGCACAACAGCACAGCAAGTTTCAAGACTGATGAGCTCAAAAGGGATTTCTGGTCTCGCACTCAGTTTCGTTGTTACAGCGAGATTCTCCTTTCTCTCTGTCTGCTAGATGTTAAAACACAGAATGTCCTCACTTCTCTGTCTACACACAAAACATAACAGCCTCTTTTCTACTGGTATCTTCTTACAACGGACAAGCCAATTACCTTATTTGGCAAAGAATTGTTAGGCAGGGGGCTCAGCATCATACACTGATTGCATTCCTGAGGGAGGGGGAAATGAGGGGATAACATTAAGACTTCTTAACACAGTGAGGGCCGTGCCTGCACGATTGCTACACCTCCCCCCTCAGGTGATTGCATATGAGTTTAAGAAAAATACCAAAATGCAGAAGTTTGGAGCAAAATGGAGAACCGAGCCTCTCCCTGTGTGCATGATTGTTACAGGCGCCATTTCTAAAAATCTGAAAGCATTCAAAAACACCGGTCTTGGTGTTTTGAATGCTTTCAAGTACAGAGGAGGGACCCCAGATCCCCCCATAAAAAATACCTGTCAAGTGTCTTTGGCTGTCACAGGGGATGTTTACATAAATAAAAGTGATAAAAATGTTTTTTAAAGCAACAGTGTTAAAAAAAAATTAATAATTAAAAAAAAATATAGTGCCCTATTCCTCTGTGCTCGGTCCCGTGTACACGCAAACAGCGACACATGTGAGGTATTGTCATGAACGTCAGATCATGGGCAGTAATTCTGGCACTAGACCTCTTCCGTAAGATCTGAAAAAAAGTGGTAACCTGTAAAGGCTTTTAAAGCGTCACCTATGAATAGTAAAATTTACATTGTTTATCGCCATTGAACAGGAGTGCGCAATTTTGAAGCATTACATGTTTGGTATCTATTTACTCGGTGTAACATCATCTTTTATATTTTACAAAACAATTGGGTTATGTATTATGTTTATTTGCAATAAAATTGTTTAATTTTTCCCAAAAAATGCACTTGAAAAACGGATGTGCAAATACCGTGTGACATAAATGCAAAAAACACCAATTTATTCTTTAGGGTCTCTGTTTAAAAACAAATATAATGTTTGGGGGTTCTAGGACATATTCTAGTAAAAAATACTGATTTTATTAGATTTACATTACATTTATTTGCATTTAAATATAAACAAAAAGTGCCAGAAATTGCTTGAGGCTGAAATGGATAATTTCCAGCAGTGGTTCCTTCCTCCAACCACAACATCCCTACACGACACCCTAAGGACATAGGGGACAAAGAAAGGAACATCCAACATCCAACACTCACTGTTTAGCATGTATAGAGGAATCTTTCGGAACCTATTAGATTATTTCTCTGGAATTCCATGCATGCATGGCAAACATAAGGCAGGGGCTGTGATTGACTGCCTCTGCCTGAGCACCCAATCAGAGCCAAATCCTAAAGTTAGAAAATCTGACAAAACTAAAACTAGAAGGGTAAGAGAGGTATAGGATAAGAAGTGTGGTGCCCAAGGAAGATACAATGATATCCCTTATCACCATATGTATCATACAGGAACTAAAATGGAGAATTAGGATGGAAGAACAAAGGTGACACTCTGAATAAATAAATAGATAAAATAAAATAAAAATTGATAAGGAGAGGTCTCCCCAGACCAACTACCCCTGGCCCGCCCCCTTTCATTCATTGGATTTTGGTTCTTCCAGTCATGGTGGCTCCATTATTCAGAGACAAGGCTGGAAATAATTGGCGCAGACAGTGATAAACAACCAAAATAGATTTTTGGGGGAGCTTCAGTCACACTGCTAAATATCCCCCATAAAGATACTCATTAGAGACGAGCCAATAAAGTTTTTATTTTCCCCCAAATTTAGCAAAAATCAGGAGAATTCAGTAAAATGTTCGCCATTTTGGCAAAATGAATTGGGGTCAGTGTACATGTATAGATTGAAATCCATCCAGCAAGGCATTTGACATTTCCATAACTCCTCCCAAGAACCAGCTCATTGCTTGAATCAGGGCTGAGGGCTCTTGGGAGGAGTACTGAGGCAGGGTACAGTGACATTTCCAGGAAGCACCCTGCCAGTCCCTCCCACCAACTATGAGCTGTCTACATTGCATAGAGAAGTGCAGAGCAGGGGCGGACCATTTGGAAATTTGGGCACTGCCCGAGGACAGTAGGGGTCCCCATGAGATGCCCCTGGTACCTTTTTCATAGGCTTTTTTGAGTTTGGGCAAGGACACATAGGCCCCATGATCCCCTATTGCCCGGGGGCCCATGAGTTGTCAATCCACCCCTGGTGCAGAGATCCAAGGTTGACATCACTGAGGATAAAATAAGATATGTAATGAAAACGGAATCATTTTCTTTTTACCATGTTAACGATAACGAAGAAACCAGGGAAAAATATAGGCAGATAAAAGGTCAGCAGTCAAAAGTCAGAGCAGACGTAGGCTGAATTCTCACTTACTTGTGATTGTTTTGTTGGAAATGCACGTCCATTTTTCCTGAATTTTATCACAAGTCAGAGCGAATTCTGCCTTACATACAGTATGTATGTTGTAGGAATTCCAGGTTAAGTTGTAGTTGACAGTGGCGAAGGGGTTCGCATTTCTGCCTAGCAGCACTATGGTCACCAGTTTGAATCCCACCCACGTTACTACCTGCCTGGAGTTTGCACCTTCTCCCTGTGTTGGTGTGGGTTTTTTTTTTCTCAGAGAATATGTGCAGGAACTCTCCCCTTCTGAGTCACCTTTGTCTCCGCCTCCTACCCACCTCTGAGCACTATCCCTTAGTTTTACCCCCCACCCATCTCTCTGTACCGTCCCTTGGTTCCACCCCCTACCCACCTCTGATCACCGTCCCTTGGTTCCACCCTCTACCCACCTCTGAGCATCATTCCTTGGTTCCACCCCCTACCGGCCTCTGAGCACTGTTCCTTAGTTCCACCCCCTACCTATCTCTGAGCACTGTCCTTTGGTTCCATCCCCTACCCACAACCCAGTACCGCCCCTTTTAGAGAATACAGAACCAAGTGTTTTATTTTGTGCTACTAAGTACTATGTATTTGTTCATGATATTAAGAAAGGCAGTAAAATAGATCCCCT